TTATTCAAAGTACTGTCCACCAAAGAAAATCAACTCCCTTGATAAATACTGATAGTACCAAGAAAACCCGAATCAAAGGAGTAACCCACTGAAGCAGGGGTGAAATCCAGCAGGTTCTGACAGGTCTGGAGAACCGGTAACGGAATTTTTGAGTAGTTTGGAGAATTACCGGCAAATACCATCTCTGGCTGGCCCCAGAGTGGGGTGGAAATGGAAATTTTGCTGTATCTTTCCCCTGGAGTGGGGTGGGAATGGAGATTTTGCATTATCCTTCCCCTGCCATGCCCACCAAGAACTGGTGGAAAAATGAATTTCACCATTGCACTGAAGTTATAATAAATATGTGAATACAGCAAGGTAACTAAAACACTTTTTTAAAAAACTTAAAGGGTTGGATTTAATTTGATTGAATTAGATTAAGATCCTAATCCTAATCCTGATCCTAAACTGTGTACCTACATTGCATGTAATTTGTCCTGGTTCACATTTATGATGGCACCCTAACTTGCCTCCTCCTATCAAAATAATGGTGTTGCATTTGCTGCATTTGCACAAAATGGTAAGATGTTAAAAAGTAAGCAGCGTGCTGCAGCACTCTGCTCTGAATACTACCCCGGCTCCTCCTTTCTAAACTTTGAAGAAGCAGGGTCGGAATAGTATAGATGCTTTTGAATTTTGGTATTGGAGAAGATTCCTGACAACAACATTGACAGATAAAAAAACAAATGAACAAACCAACCCAGACTTCTCACTGGAGGAACAAATAAGCAGACTCAAATTATCCTACTTTGGACACATTGTGCAAAGAGGTAGTTCTCTGGAGAAGTCTCTAAAACTGATAAAGATAAGAAGAGAATGGCCAGCAGCAGGGTTCATGGACTCAGTTACAGTGGCAATGAGTGCATCATTGGAAGATCTGAAAGAACAGGATGGGAACAGATCACGGTAGAGAAAATCTATCTAGAGTGTCACTAAAACCTGGCAACAAATTGATGGCACATAATCAAGCAAGCAATCCTCCTCTTAGTGGACCTAACTGATAAAGCCAGATAGCTTCAATTGAAAACTCTTGTCTTGTTATTCTTAACAAAAACCAGAATCAGTAACTACAAGTATGTCAAAAGTGTGTCCTAGTGGTCTGTCCAAACATGGTTATCATGTCTTAAGCTATGATCAATTAAATGAAACCATGCCATTTAAATAAGTGGAACCCACAGCAGACAACAAAGCAAAATCTGGAAACATAAACTGAGGATGTTTGTGTACTTCACTCAGTCTACATTCAGGACAGGATGATCAGTTAGGATCATTGTTCTATCTCAAAACCATCTTGTATCCTGGGGAGCAACGTAATATTATAAAGCCATGATTCTAAGATTTAAACAGATGGGAAACAAACAGATAAATAACTCCTGCATCAAGACTCACCTGTTTTACATCTGGAAGCTCAAATTACGACGTACAGTAGGATTTCAATTTTGACTAGAAAAGATAAAAAATAAAAATGTTCCTCATTAGGCTTGAAAGCAGAAGAGGCTATGGACAGGAAGGGCAGGGCCATCAAAGCTGTTCTGCCGAGACAGAGACTAGTAGTATACTAACTCATAGTTTGTCTATAGCTGGACCTCTCTTAAGCAGATCTTCAGTTCTTCCTCCTCATGTTTTAGTCCTTTGCACCTGTTGCAAGCCAAGGAGCCATTTAAAGCACAGAAGAAAATCAAATCACACAGTAATGAAGAAAACAAGCCTGGATGTTGTGGCATGCAATAGTCTTAGACACAAGGAAATGGAAAACAAAAGTCAGGTGTACTGAATATTCTTTACATGCACCTCATTCTTCTTCTAGTTGCTCCTATTTTTTATATGCATTTATGATGATTCCTTTATATGCATTTATGATGGCTACATATAAATATCTGCTTAGGGATGCCTGAGCCTGTACTCCAAACTAACTAAACAAAAAATAAACTGAACATAGGTAAACCCTCCAGTTTTGGAGTTAGCAGCTTGTAGGTTGAAAAGAGTGGAGGACACAAAAGGACAGTTCTCCCCATTGAGACAATAAAAATACATTAGTGTATTTGAAAGAGAAGAAAATTCAAGGTGATTATTCCCAAGGTGTGAGAGAACTTTTTCATCCAGAAAGTTTTGACTTTGCTTGATTGGTTGCTGAAAAGAGTAGTAGTCTTAGCCTTGTCTTTTGTTCCTCAAGAAAATGATGCACCACAAGATAATATAAGCTTTCTCCTCTTAAACCATTCTAACTCCAATGGTTTCTTCTCCCATTCAAATTAAAAGTGAGCACATGGTTGGTTCTGTTTCAACTTTCTGTCCCTACAGGCAATTGGAGAAACTAAGTGACAAGACAAAAGAGCACAGAAGAAGCTTACTGAGAGATTGGCTTGCACATTATTAAAGCAGCCGAAAAGCAGATACAGAAGGAATGGACAAACAGCAATAAACTTATACAGACATAAGTTCAATAGTCAGTTGTTTCTGGAAAAATGAATATAAGCATAGCACTGGAGTGTTGGAATGGAAAGACGAAAATGGTGGATAGTGAATTGGTACGGTTTATCTTGATGAGATTGATTAGTTATATTTACTGAATTATTAACTATGAGAACTTTAAAAAACTTTTGCTTTCATTTGTAGATTAACCCCAAACTTGCCACGTTATAACAGCTCAGAAAAGCAATTTCAATTAAAATGCATTGCAGTATGTCAACATCACATAATAGTTTACAAAGTTGTATGCCGCCCTGAGTCCTTGGGAGAAGGGCGGCATATAAATCGAATAAACCTTAAACCTTATGATTCTGTAGTTAGAGTCAGAAGTTTTAAGTTGGCACTGTAGCTGACTTTCATGCAATAGAAATTAAGTCATCTGAAGTTACATGTAGAGCTGGTAGCTTGAAGATCATAGTTCAACTTAGCTGATTACAGGTTGATTTTTTTAAAATTTCCATATCAAGCAGGGATGGAATTTTTCAATCAAATATCTTCATTCAACAATTACAACTATTGAAAAATATGCTTAATCTGACATCCTTAGAAAGTTATCAAAAGTTAATCACTTCAAACAACAACAATAAAAGCAAAACCCTAGAACCAAACTCTTCAATGAAGAAAGGAGAAACAAATAGAAAATATAGAGTGTAAGTGGGTAAAAAATCACAATGACTGGAGAGAGAAGTCAAGGTATTAACCCAACAAGTAGACCAGATTAAGAAACCATTTTATATAGGACAGGATTATTCTTATTGCCACAGCTATGAGAATCCTGTAAGTCTCAATGTATTTCCCACATACACACTAACTTATCCTCATGTGAAATTAGGAAGGGTTTGTCTAAGGTGATTTCTCATGTTATTTTCTTGTCTTGTACTGAAGTCTCTATTATTTGATTGCTGCCTTCATAGCAATTCTTCCTCCTGTTTTTCAGTGCCATTCCCTACACACGTTATTTTTTAACTTATTTTTCTTCATGTAGACTTTATTACTGCATTTAACTTTTTCAAATAATGTTCAGATAACTATTCAATGTTGACCAATACATAATTATTTCAAAAAGTATGAAGAAATAAAGTTCTCATATTGGATTTGTCCAAGTAAGCAAACAAATACAAGTTCCATTTAAAAGAAAATAAATACATTTAAAAGGAACATCTATCATTCATCTTTATAATTATCTGAACCTTCTCTTCTCATCTGCTAACATGTGACATGTTTTTCAAGATTCTTATACCGCAAAGAAAAAACAAGATGAGGGGGAGGAAATGATATTTTTTCTCATGGAGTAAAAGGATTCTAAGCAAGTTCTTAAAGGCAGGACTCATCCACATTTAGATATAACACTGTATTTAAACACAAAACTTTAAGTAGATTTAGCTCAATATTTACAGGTGTAGGAGATGACTAGGCTGAGCCTGAAGGATGAGTCAAGTGTGTTATTAGTCTTTAATCCCTTTGTGCCCATGAGAGATCTAATTCCAGCCCACCTTATCTACCACCAACTTGCTTTGACCATTAGTAGTTCAGATTCTTATAGAGAGTGTTAGGATGCAATAATTCATCTTAACCACCTTGATTCCTGATTTCTTGTGCTTGATAGCAAGGATTTTAATATGGCATGCAGAAGACATATAAGGTTTGAAAATGTAAAAGGGATGTTAAAAAATATACCACCAATTTGGAATCCCTAAAAGTGAAGAACTTTAGATTCCTCATGTGTCCTCATCTATTACCCCCATCCCCACCCCACCCCAAAGTTATTTTACTTCAGTAGAAAAAGCCCAGTGTACCTGATTTAAAACCCTGGATTGAAGTTATGTGCTCACTTATTGTCTATATGAAAATGTCGGGGTGGTACTAAGTACTAAGAGACAGAACATTATGCTGTGACATCACAACACACATTTTGTCACTTTGACAAAAGATTGACTTGCTGAAGATAACCCTGTATATGAATTGGTTCTTGGTCAGTGTAGTTTGATTTGATCAACGATTAATTTGCTATTTAGGATCTGATATTTTTCTTTCATATACATCTATTTCAATATGTATTCAATATGTATTATTATTGGTCTATTTTTTCTGGACATTAAAAACATCTTGCATTTGTTTAATAGAAGATTTTCTTCCTTTTGGTCATATACTAGAAACCAAGAAAAGAAATGTGTATTAAACTTATCACCTTAATATTGATTCTCCTTGAAATTCTTGAAAAGTAATTTCTTAAGACTTGTATGAGGCCAAATTTTCTAATGAGCAGTACTGCACAGACATGAAATTATTTTTCAACTGGATATATTCTTATAGCGCAGGGCAGAAAATATGCCAAATTAATCATGTGTTCTTTAATCAGAAAATATGTTGTGACCCAGTAACAAACCTTTTTCTGACCCAGTTATATAAGCAAAAGGAGGCTTCCAGAAAATAATGTGTCAACATAAATTAAAAAAACAATTGTGTGGAAAAAAAGAAAACCAGAAACTTACTGAGTGTAAGCTTTCATTTTCACGAAGACAAGCTGTTTGGAGTTCTGATTTCAGAGTTGCAATGTGATGCCGATGGGATGTTATTTCTCGTTCTAATGCAGAGACTCTGGAGCATGCAAACTGATAGACATCTATGAAACTTATAATCATCGCCTTAAAGGAAAAGCAAAAGGAATGATTATACTTCTGTATAAAAGATATGCCATTTTGCTGAGTTATATGTTTCTGAAAAGGAAATCTGTGTGTGTGTGTGTGTGTGTGTGTGTGTGTGTGTGTGTGTGTGTGTAAACATATATACAAACACTAAACCTTAGATGCTGTCCCAAAGAAAAATATTATCACCTTAGAATAGAAAATACTGTATGCCAAATATCTTTTTGTATGCTGAAATTACAAACAGTACGTTGTGATTCAGTTGTTTAAATAAACACTGTGTTTTGATTTGTACATAAAGCTTTATTGGTTCTATTTAAACTCATCCCTCGGTTAATTTTATTCAGCCAAGCTGAGAATACCATCAGAGGTTAAGTATGAACATTCTGAAAATGAATGGAGTTGCTAATTCTCCCACCTCACATTGAAAAGGAATTGGATTTAATTTGGCATGGAACCTAAAGAAAGTAGCAGACCTTTGAAAATAAATAATCTGATTACAATATAGCTGGGAAAATAATTCTCTTCAGATATACAGAAGAAGAATGTCCCAGCAGTGTAATATTGATCCGACTGATAATAAAGTTAACAGCACAATTGAGTATAAATGATCTGGCAGTGTTGGTAACTTGATATCTGACCCAAATAGTATAACAGTGCTGGGATTACTGGAGTTCTTTACAACTGGTTAATCATTTTTTATTTTTTTTAGGTTATAGCTTCCTTCCGAAGTGATCTGCACTGATTTCTCAAATGTAAGAACAGCATTAAAGCTGATATTAGTAAAAAAAAACTATTAACCTCAATAAGTGAAGATTGTTAGCCATATTTTCTCAAATAAAGCAACTCGGGGTTTGGGAATGATCAGGCCAGAAAACATAAATACTCATGTTTAAGATACCAAGTACATCCATACATATTCTTGGAACTGTTTTAAGATTCAAAACTTAACTCGTGTGGATTAATTTGGATCAGGTGAGCATGGGGATGCTACAATGTTTGTAAGTGTGAAGACCAGCCATAAGTCACTTTTTTCAGTGCCGTTGTAACGGTCACTAAGTGAATTATTGTTAAGTCAAGGACTACCTGTATAATCAAAATGCCAAATGTGCTATTCTTGCTAAAACTGAAATGAAAGCAGCTTGCATAGGCACCACAATTAATGCATTCTGCCATTGCTATTAAATAGAAATAAAACTAAGAGTTTTCACACATGATACCAATGAGCGTGCATTTCAAATGCAGCATTTGTAGATAATGTCAATGCATGTGGTAAAAAGCTGTAAATAAAGAGGTGTAAGTAAGTTGACTACTGTATAGTCAACAATATAGCAAGTTCTTCCCCCCAAATTAAATGAAATGCTCATAGATAACATCTAACAAAAGAACAATAAATAATTTAAAATACTTTATCTCAAGGTTTAAATATATTCAGGTATCATGGAAAAATAAATAAGCATTTTCTATGTTTCTTTGTCTCCTTCTCTAGGAGGTCAATTTTTCTTTTTTCTTTTTTACATATAAAAGGCAAAAATTAGGGTTTTATACGTGCAAACAACAAAAAGTTATACAAAAGTCTAAAGCGCTAAGTGTAACACCTTCATGCAATAATAATTTTTAAAAAACGCTATAGCTATTATGAATCTTGTAATAATCCAGTTTAATCTCCCAAGTGAAACTTCAACAGGGCAATATACATTTTAATTTGGACAAGTTCTTTGAGGTAACATTTCCTTGTTTCCCAAAAGGAACCTTGGAATTTTCAGTATCAAGTGCTCAGTGCCTCATATTTAAATCTCAGTGGAAAGATGGTATTTCCAGTAGTCCACTCCACTGTATTTATTAGTGTGCTGCCAAGAACTGATTTATTGCTGAGTCAGCATAAAATATCCTGGGGGATAATTAAGAAAAATCAAGGTTTCTGTTTAGGAAAAAGAGAAAAGTACTTTACTACAGACTATGGGCCAAAGAGTGTATAGAACCTGTAATACAAAGCTCTACTTTAGTTCTGTCAATACCAGACGACAATCTCGTGAAAATTAATTTTAGTTAGTTCATTAATTGTACAATGAAGGGGATATATCTGCACAAAGCTCCTTAAGATGATGAAAAAAACAATCTAGAGTTTTTGTGTTTTAAAGTTCACTGGGCCTTTGTCTCCAAACTACAGAGATTAATATTTTTACCACGTTATTTATAACTACCATTTATTTAAAATTAAATGGTGGGGCATAATTCTGATGTGGAGTTCAGTGGCAAGAGAAATTCTATGTGCAGATAGTTGTATATATAATGGAAAAATGTTTTTCTAGGAGTCATACAAGCATTCTACCTAAAATGTATTAAACTTTTGTATTTGGGTTGTGGAGGGGGGGGGGTAATGAATCCCAAGCAATTCCTAGCTAATTTGTCTTCTAAAATCATCTATACAAGAGAAAAATAAAATTACTGTTTTGACCTCCCATGTTTGCATGTGGAGAGTCATCTAAATTATCATAGAGAAGGGACTTGACTATCCATGTTCAAATTCAGTTTATATTTAATCTTAAATAAATACTAAATAAATTCTTCATTCTATTGAACAATGGAGAAAAGAGAGGAATAACTCACAAATTGTTCAGCCTTGCAAATAATCCTTTTAAATTGCCTACAGGATATATTTAGATACTTCTGCAGTGAATTCATTTATGTGTGGATCTTGGTTTAAGTGCATTATTGTAGACTTTTTAAAAATCCATAGCCAAAGCAGTGTCAATTCACATATAAGTATAACCTATTCAAAAAGCTTGCATTGCCATTTCCATAGACTTCCAGGTCTGTGTATGATGGATGATGATGATTTCTGTCTCACTCTACTGATTTTAACGAATTTATCATGACATTCTGAATACAATCATCTTTAGGAACAACTTTTAATGAACCCCGAAAGTGCACAGCAAGAAGGGCGAGGTAGGAAATCCTCTATAGAACAAAACAGTAAAACTGTGAACCTACATACTGATTTCACAATTTAACTGAAACAGATGTCTAAAAAGGAATATAATGTCATAAGTATGCAATTTCTTGATTCTTTTTTTCTTGAAGCAATATGGCTACAGGAAAACTAACCAAAGGACATATGATACTAGCCTACCTCATTATAAATAACAGGAAAAGTACAGTTGTACCAGTTATCATATCCTTTATTAAAAAGCAGCTGAGTATTACCAGCTATTACATAGCAAGCAGGTTTTACAACCCACAAATATTCATATGGCACATTCACTTTAAAAATCAAGATCCCTTCCAGACTAAAGACCATTCGAAGGATGCCAATGGAGAAGGAAATAGAACCAAGCTATTTTGAAGGCTAAAGAATTTTAATTTTAAGCATTAAGAAGCCACTTTAAATTGAAATGCAGGATGTAGGTTAATAACATTTAAAACATACGTACAGCTGCCAATTTTACAGTAGAAACATAAAAAACTATTCAGGAGAAACCAAAGGAATAAGAGGGGGGGAAATCTATTACCAGAGTAACTTTCTTCCTGTCCTTTTGCCTTCTTACCTTCTAATTATATATTGGTTAAGAATATATAAACATCTTGTGGCAATAGTAAGCATGGTCATAACACAAATGATTCCTAAAGAATTTGCCAACTGAAGAAATACCCATTGGCAAAACCAACTTCCAAATATAATCACTTGCCAAATATATACAATAATATAGTAGTTTCACTTTGCAAAAAAACAAACAAAACCAAAGGAATTCCTGTGAGCATGGGAACTTGTAATAGAAAGAAAGAAATATTTAAGAAGAGAAAAAGGAATCATGATTTCCAAATGTTTCCAGAGCGAACATTTGTTTATATGTAATCATGAAAATATATAAATAGAAATGGAGAAAAAGATAAAAGAAAAAAAGAAAAAAAGAAAAAGTGAAAAAAAACCAATACAGATGGAAAAAGAAAAATATAAATCTCCTTTATAGTAGTGACAAGCAAATTTATTAGCTCTCCTCCATATTTAAGATTATATTACATGGTTCCCTTCTTCCCATATTCAACCACTTTTAATGAGAAAATTTATAAATCACCAATTCATTTTTTCCATTTTCAGCAAAAAAATATTCCCAAGAGTGTCCAGTCTTTTATAAGTTTATTCTCCAAATATTTGTTTAATGTGTATATTAGTGTGTGCACCTATGTGTTTAGATGAGAGAGTGAAAAAGAACAAACATTTAATATAAAGATGTCATGTTAAGAGTTGCCAATACGAGTCAATGAAGTTGAAGAGTAGATGGATATATAGACTCAGATTTTTGTCCAAGTTGTATCCATGTAAGGAAGCAAAGAATAGAAATGAAATCTCCAAGCTAACTAGTTCATATAAAATTATATCATAAAGCAAAAAATAAGAAGGTAATGGAGAAATTAAAAATGATTACAAATCTAAAAATATTTCATTAAAAGTATTTCGTATTCTTGTAAAGAAAAAAGAAGAAATATCCAAATTAATACTTTGTTGGGGTTTCAGCCTTTAGGAAATTTCTGAGTATTAGTGGGAAATAAGTTAACCTAATATGTATTTGAAGAATATACTGTATATTATTAAATTAGATATTAAATATGAGCCAACAGTGTGCAGCAGCAGCCAAAAAAGCCAATGCAATCCTAGGCTGCATTAATAAAGAGATAGAATCAAGATCACACGAAGCATTAGTACCGCTTTATAAAGCCTTAATAAAACCACATCTTTCCAGTTTTGGTCACCACAATATAAAAAAGTTGTTAAGACTCTGGAAAGAGGGCCTGGAGACTAAAACATATGATAGTTGCAGCAATTGGGTATGTCCAGTCTGATGAAAAGAAGGATTAGAGGAGATTATGATAGCAATGTTCCAGTATTTAAGGGGCTGCCACAAAGATGAGCAGGGCAAACCATTTTCCAAACCATCAGAAGGCAAGATAAGAATTAATGGATGCAAAGTTATCAAGTAGAGAAGCAACCTAGAACTAAG